TGGAAAGCAGAGCTCAACCGTCCGAAGGATCCCCGATTTCGATCCAAAGAACCTCGACCTGGAGCATCCCTCGGCGGAGAAAGATATGAGGAACAAAGAGCACATCCCCAACGATCGCAAGGCACGAACACTAAGCATACCTCTTCAGAAACTAATTCTACGATGATCTGGAGGATCTTGGCGTTCCCCCTTGACATGCTTGCCAGGATATTAAAATAAACGTCGGGAACGGGAAACTCCCAAACCGAGGCCATGCAAAATCCCCGCGCGGGCAAAATCAAACCCCGCGTAGAATTCGTGTGTAAGGCCAGGAGCCCTCCTCCCTGCTTAATTAAGTAGGCGCTTATTTAATTAAGTAAGGGAGAGGTAGCTAGTAGTTTAAGTAGCCACTACCGTGGACGCCGGATAGTTGGCGCTTCTTCAAGGACGCTCGAGCTTCCTTGAAGAAGCGCTCGCACTAATGGTTTGGCTCCTAGATTCTTATAGATGATTAGGAAAAGTTAACTAGTAGCGTTCTTGCTACTGGTAGCCATGGCCTCCAACCTACTAGCGGCTATGGCCTCCACCTAAAAGCATCCTTGCTACTAGTAGCTTCCAGCTAGTGTGAAACCTTTGGAGTCACAGGGAATCCTTTGATTTGGTTTCGTTTTAACATGGTGTCCTTTTTATTGCAGGGGTGTGCGGCATGATTGTGGGACCGCACTCAACGAAGCTACAAGTACCACAATCATGGGATACCGAGTCTGATCAACTCGGCGTACCTGCAGTTCTGACTTCTTACTCCCTACTTGGTCCCGTTTATAGCTAGAACATGCTAGAACAAGACGTTGGCCTTTGCAGCGGTTCACCATTGGCAGACGAGTGCTCGTCGCTCGATTTCTCGTCGATCTTTTCGTTTTCGTGATTTTCAGGTTCATGGTCAAACCGCCTTGCATAATTTAACCTGACCCCTTAGGCCATTCTCCTCAAGGCCATCTCTGCCGAGATACGATGCAGGGAAGCTGGAGCAGCATTTCCTGAGGTGTAGCGGTGCAAACGGTCACTGCAGTGCAAAAAGTTCCAAACTCTTGGGTGATTTCGGAGATGTTGGTCATATTTGTTCTGTCGTTGTTTTTGATCTGTTCTTCTTTCTGGAAGTTCATCTCAGAATTTGGGCCCCCCCGTTCCCTCAAGGTTTGGCTTTCCACTGTCTTGGAAGTCCAAACTCCCTAACTTCCATCGATTTGCTCTCACCCTAATTCCCTGCACTCACAATGGCTCTGTTCAACTCGAAAAAAGATCTGATGAAGTTTCAGTGAACAAAACGAAAGGTCAACATGTGTTTTGTCTTTTAAATTTTTGTATATGCTGCTTGTTTTGTTTGTTGCGCGTTGGTTTGTTTCATTCGTTCGTTCGTTCGTTTGCTTGTTTGATTGTTTGTTGCTTCCTGTGCGCTTCCTGATTGGTTTTCTTGCATTTGTTGGTCCCGAAGCTGGTGGGGTGCTGGTGGGTGTTGGTTTTCTATTTTCGGGTCACGATTTGGGTGTCATTGTTCAGGCGCCAGGTGGACGGTGGTGTCGCCAGGCAGCTCCTGGGACTTCGGTGGGCACCTCGGTGGTTCTTTCACTTGGTTTTTGTTTTCCTCTTCTTCTTGTCCCTCTCCCTACTTAGGTTGGAGGCCATGGCTCTAAGGATGGAGGCCATCGCTCTGGGTTGGAGGCCATCGCTTGTCGCACAAACAGTGACTTGGGTGTAGCACTTCGCTGGGTGTTGAGGCCTGGAACCCAGTCGAAAACCCCAAGGCTGGAAAGTTCCGCCACTGGTTTTCGGAGAGAGGGAGACTAAGTCATGGTGCGCAGTAAAAATCCAGTGAGACTGCTCAATGATTGATTCAGCACCTACCCCACTCCCTCCTCGCTTATAACAGGCATACGCTACGCTGTACGTGGGGGTGAGATGTTGGGTATTCTCCAATGATGATCATGGTGGACAGCGATGAGAAGCATCACAAAGCACGGCAAGTTGTCTCTGCTCGCAAGTTGTCTCTTGGTGTCGGGGATGCACCTGGTACACAAAACATCATCGCTTTCTTCACCCATCTTCACGCCCCCCCCCTCCACCCCTGCCAGCCCCTCCTCCTCCCCTTTTTTCCCCGTGAATCGTCAGCCCGGGTGTCTGGACGCTGTAACTGATGTAATCCATCAAGGTCCTACCATGCACGCTGATGTCGGCACAGTCAGTGCCATTCTCTGCTGCCATCAGCGCCTGACCGGCGAGACGAGCGGCGCTGGTGGCCCGCAAAACACAGGTGCCCGAAGAACCATCGGGGGCCCCACCTGAAATCTATATACTTCCCCCCCTTCGGTCTGTCAAGAGGCTTTGGAAGCTGCAGCAACACTCACAAGATAGAAACCCCTTGGGGCTACATCTAAACCCACCTCTCCATCGCCTCACCATGTAAAATCACAGGGCTTCCATATATATGTCAACCTACCTGAACACACCCTCCACAGTCGCCGAAGCAACCGGCGGGGCCTCAAGCATCACCGGGTCCTCAGAGAGAAGATTCGACAGTCCCATTTGCTGGGGGGGTAGGAAGCTACTAGTAACAAGTGCATCGCTACTAGTAACAAGTGCCTTACTACTAGTAACAATAAGAATTCAATTAGAATTGTAATTACTAGCAAAGGAATCTACTAGGACCTTTTCGCGCGCGCGTGCGGCCGGGGGGGTAGGAAGCTACTATATCCGCTGGGGCGCCCCAAAAAGTGATTTGAGTTAGTAGCGAGCCTCCAACCTAATAGCGATGGCCTCCAACTAAGAGCGATGGCCTCCAACCTAGTAGCGATGGCCTCCAACCCAAGAGCGATGGCCTCCAACCTGATGGCCTCCAACCTAGAAGCGATGGCCTCCAACATAAGAGCGATGGCCTCCAACCTAGAAGCGATGGCCTCGAACATAAGAGCGATGGCCTCCAACCTGATGGCCTCCAACCTAGAAGCGATGGCCTCCAACCTGATGGCCTCCAACCTAGTAGCGATGGCCTACAACCTACTAGCGATGGCCTCTAACCTAAGAGCCATGGGCTCCAACCTAATAGCGATGGCCTCCAACCTAAGAGTGATGGCCTCCAACCTAAGAGCGATGGCCTCCGGCCTAGTAGCGATGGCCTCCAACCTACTAGCGATGGCCTCCAACCTAGAAGCGATGGCCTCCACATTGGCCCGGGTCAATCCCTGAAGTGGTGGTCTTAGGGTGGCCTCTGGGTGAGTGTCTGGACATTGACTATGGTCTGTAAAGGTTCTTCAAAGGCTGACCCGTTCAAGTTGGCCCTTCTCTTCTCACCCCCCCTTCTCACCCGTTCGGAAAACCCGACACGCTCCGAGCGGCGTCGTGCATCCATTGCGCGTTCTCTGCGCAGGTTTGAGTTCTCCACGCGCCGGACGATGCCTGCAGGGCCGAACGTGTGGAGCGCCATCCATCAGACGAATGGGCTTATTTGATGGGATCTGCAAACCTACGTACCCGGATGGGTATACAGGCCGTACTACTAGGAGCAAGGACGCTACTAGGGGCTCCTGGCATCGCTACTAGGAACAAGAAGCTACTAGGGGCTCCTGGCCTAGGAGCAAGATGGGTATACGGTATACAGGTAACTATAGTACTTGGGTGCCATCCGGTCACATCCCATTTTCTGAGGCACTTCAGGGTTCAACCGGGCAGAGTTTGAATCACACGATTGATCATTATGGACATGTTGAGCTCGCCCTCTCTACTGCAATATTGTATGCAAATGGCTTCTCCACGGATTGAGTTTTGCTCTTTGCCTTTGCTCAACTGCCAACAGCAATGTGTGACAATGGCGTTCCAACCAACTCCACAGTGACCCCAAAATCGATCTCTGCGTTTGCTAACTAGCAGCAAGAAGCTGGAGACTGCCCCCCCCATAAGCCCCATTGACTCTTGTCCATCCCGCCTGGCAGCTGCTGGCGCTTCGGCACTCGCAATGCGTACCCCGATGAGCTGAACAAACGCGGCGCACGTCGCACATGGTCGACCAACCCCATGGGAACCGGGCGGGGTCGCCCGTGACACATCGACATCGAACCAGTCGGTCGACTTCGGTCGCCGATCGGGCTCGACTCCGCCAGCGCAGCGCCAGCTGTGGTTGTGAACGAGCATGGCGGCAAGAAGCTATTACTATAAGCGCATTAGTATACTAGTAGCAAGAAGCTAGTATATAACAAGAAGCTACTAGCATGGCAGGTTTGTGGCTCCGGTTTCGATCATCACCAAGCACCGCAACAGATCGAACACGGAGCTGCAACCACGACACCCCGCGCGCCTATGCAGCCAGCGGCCGCGCAGGAGGCTTCATCTGGGATGCCATTGGAGTGCTCGCACCACTCGTGAACGTTCAACTCCGGATGGAAATCGCTCCTTACAACCCGCAGGACATCCAAATCAGCGAGATCAGCTAGGGTGTGAGACGAAAGAGCTGTTTTTTTTGAGACACTGAAAGCGGGGTGATGGTGGAATCGTGGGTAGTTGGGGTTTGATATGCTTCAAGGTTCATCTTAATTGTTCCAGAAAGGACGGGCGAATGTAGGTAGCCAGGTCTACCTAGCCCTTCCTTGATGAACTGGATGAATTTCTGACCTCCGACCCAGTCGCAAACACAAACAAACCAGCCCAGCTCCTGTTTCCATTGCCTTGCAAAAAACAACAAAAACACCTCCAGTTGTTGTTGAAAAGTCCTCATTTCGGGAGCACCGAATGCAGACTGAGTCAGATCCTCAGTCCGTCCGGCCGCCACTCCGTTGGACCCCTGCACACCCGCCAACGGTCTCCCGCTCTTCTGGCTTCACTGCCGACGGCTTCAGCAAATCCGATGCTCGAAGCGACATGATCTAGCTTCTTGTTACTACTAGTAAGGCACCTGTTACTAGTAGCGATGCACTTGTTACTAATAGCTTCTTGTGAGGTCGAGTGTTCTAGAAAATGCATCCGCAAGTGTATCTTCTCCTTCCCGGCGACGAACGGAACAAGAAGCTACGCACGGTGGAGGCCATCGCTAGCTTGGAGGCCGTAACAAGAAGCGCCACCGCCCTCCGTTCCTTTTCCGAACCGCCCAACCTCGGTCGGCTCAGCCAACCGGTCAGGCAGAGCCCTCGTTCCGGCCACGGCATCCTCGTTCGGCCACGGCCTTCGGCTTGACGAAATGTCGCCTCTGACTCCGTTGACGGTGCACTGGGCATGCCACCTCTGACTCCTCTGCTCCCACTTCACCCCACGGCTAGGGCACCTTCGGCTTGAAGACCGGCAGTTCCCAGAGGTGCTCCTTCACCCTGCGCTCCACGCCGTGGAGCTTCGCGAGTTCCAAGGCCTTGGACTCGGCCTTGGACAAGACGCCGCCATAGATCCCCTCCCGCTTGGTCCCTTCCCGCTGTTCTTGGGGATGAGCTCCACTCGCCACGTTTTGCTTGCTTTTGTCCCACCTCACCCCCGATCACCTCGCTGGTGAAGTTGGGGTCCACGGGCTTCGGCGCCTCGAGGACGCCCTGCTTCACCAGCTCGGCTTGGAAGGCCTTGGCGGCCTCTAGCGCGGCAATGTCGGCTTCGGTCTCAGTGAGGCCCTCCTTCATGAACTTGCCGAAGGAGAACTGCGCTTCTCGTCAAAGGTCGGGTAGCTAATCTGCCGTGCCCAGCAAGTTGGGTGCCACCACACACCTGGAACCCCACTCTGCTTGCGTTTCGTCGCAGGGGTCTGTGCAGGCTCGGCATCCATCAGCTTTTCGAGGGACGAACAACCCATCCGGCTCTACTTGCTCAGCAAACGAAACACAGAATCAGCGCCCAGCTGCTAAAACAATCGACGACTTCAGCTTGACACGCCAAGTGCGGAAAGGGAATCTCCCTGGGCACAGGCGGCAAAGCTTTGTGGTCGCTTCTAAGCCTCTGATTTTTGAAGAGATGACAAAGCTCCATGTCGTCCTCATCCTCTACGACCCGTCTTCTTCGGGTTCCTCTTCTTCGACTTCTCAATCGACAAATCATCCCACGGCATTGGTTCAGTCATTTGTAGATGAGTATGTCTGTTTGACCCTTGGTGGCAAAAATGCTTCTTTACTTAAAGCTTGGCTCATTCGTACATCGAATCACTTCCCAATTCGTTCTGTGGCTGGTCTAGATGCACCAGACTTGCGGGTCCCGGCGACATGTCCGAAAAAGCAAGAGGAGGGCCGACATGTGGGGCATGGATGTGCCAGTTCAACCAGTAACACATCTCACCCCAGTTCAACAAGCCAGACATGATTTGGGATAGACTTAAGCTTGGCTCTCAGTGAAGGGTTTAATTACATGTAACTGACTTGGGCCCATGTCACGGAATTTGCAAACGTAGAATGTGTTCTTCTAAACCCCACCCCATTGGATTGAACATCCAGGCACCGTTGATGAATCAAGAGTCTGACATCCTTCCTGGTAGCAAATAGCTACTAGTAGCTTCTTGCACTAGTAGGCATGGCCTCCACCCTAGTAGCGATGGCCTCCACCTAGTAGCGTTCTTGCTCCGGGCCTGTCGTTTTGCTTCTCCGATCCAACTTGGACCAAGGGGCTCCGCCGCACAGAACGAGACCTTCCGCAAGTGTGGCTGGCCTCAGGACTCGAGATCGGAGAACACGCCCAGAACGCGACGCGCAGAACGCGACGCGCAGAACGGGCCGCAACAAGGAGGGAGACGATCTGCGAATGGAGCAGAATCCTAAAGGGTGGATCAAAGGAACAAACATGACTGGAACATAACAAGAGCATTACTACTAGTAGCAAGAAGCTACGATCAGGGCTCCTGGCATCGCTACTAGGAGCAAGGACGCTACGAACGTAGCTCCTGGCATTACTACTAGTAACAATAATGCTACTAGATGGTGTGTCTGAGCCGCAAAGCATGATTGTCGTCGACACTGATCTCTGTTTGCTTCATGATTCGATTGACTCTTCAAGGAAGCTCCCTTTCTTCCTGGTCATTTTTCTTTGTTTCTAAGAGCGATCGCCTCCGTCCTAAATGCGATGGCCTCCAACCTCAATGCGAGCGATCTGGGGGGCCCTGGCACAAGGTGGCCGGACTCGAGTTACAGCACTGCTTGGCCGGATAGGTGACCCAACGAGTGAGCTCTTCCCCCCAGCTGAGAGAGATCCCAGCGCAACCTGCCGAGGCTCCGAGGCTTCGGAGGGCAACGTCCGGCAGCTCCGGAGGTTTGTTGGAACACGAAATAAGTAGACACCAGGAGCGAAAGAAGCTCTTCACATCCGATTCAGCATTCTCTGCCAGCAATCAATCGTCTCTTGCAGTGATCGCATAAACCCAAATGGGTATACATTATACCCTAAACCAAACATGGCTCGCTCTCCGCAGCTGAAAATGCATGTGTTCTTTCGCTACCTGGATGAGTCATAGCAAATCAGGCACAAACAATTCTGTGTGCCAAGCAACTTCCAGCTTTTGTGGCATTTTCCATGGCTGTGTACTCGCTATACCAGCTGCGCATGGTGTCCGAGCACGACTGGCCTCACCGGCGACAGCTGCGTCACACGTGGAGACAGACAAAGCTTTTGGCCCAAAATCCCAGGAAGAGTATTGACATCAAGCAAAGGGAACCTACGAGCAATGGCCTCCAGCCTACTAGCTTCTTGCTACTAGTAGTAATGGCCTCCAACCTAGTAGCTTCTTCTTCCTTCCAAGTTGGCCAGGCACTTGCTGGAGGTCGCTTTGCCGAGACCGAGCGAAGTCTCTGGTCGACTCGGCTGACGAAAAACGCCGAGTCAAGACCAGGAACACCCTTCTAGTCATAAGGACGCTACGAACGGGGCTCCTGGCCTTACTACTAGGAACAAGGACGCTACTAGGGTGGAGACCTTTCTTTTCTAAGAGCGATAATAAGCACATGTCACTGTCACATAATGGTCGCATGACGATTCAACAGGGCACCAAGATGTGAACAAAGAAATGCGAAAGAAGAGAAAGAGGTTTAGCAACAGTTTTTGGCACAAGGTTAAGCAAGGTTTAGCTTGAGTTTTGCACACAAAGCACCCCTTCCACCTGGATAGGAGGGGTCGTACGGAGTGTCGGGCATGAAGTCTGAAGGGTCCTGTCCATCAAGTCGACTTGGATCGAAATCGGATCAGTTGGACCTCCTTTTCGGAGGTCATAGCTTGGAGGCCATCGCTATTAGGTTCACCCGCAAAAGATGCTTGGAGCAATGTTCGCTACGAACGGGGCTCCTGGCCTTAATACGCTCCGCATGGGTGGAGGCCATCTAACTCTTCCGCTCGGCTCAGCCGAGGCGAAGCGTCGTTCTCTCGGCTCAGCTACCGGCGACGCGAACGGTGGGCGTCCTTGCAGGGCGTGACCATGACCGCTGTGGGGTCGCACAGCCTGAGCGAACAATCTGTTCGTAGCGATGCCCGGAGAGCTCCTAGTAGCGTCCTTGTTACTACTAGTAAGGCACTTGTTACTAGAAGCGGTGCACTTGTTACTAGTAGCTTTATTGTTACTAGTAGCGTCCTTGTTTGCTCCTAGTAAGGCCAGGAGCCTCTAGTAGCGTCCTTGCAACTAGTAGCAATGCCAGGAGCCACTAATAGCGTTCTTGTTCCTAGTAGAAATGCCCTTTGCTACTGAGTCTTGGAATCCTAAAACTAAAAAGAGGACAGGAAAAAACTGAGGATCACATACTATTTTGTACAGAAGGAATCCTGAATCTAGAAAAATACCAATAGAGAAAAGAAATAGAAAAGAATGTGAACTATTTGTCTGTCCATATACAGCATTGAGTCAAGTCTTTTAGGTTTTTTGGAGGTCGAAGCAAGCCGTTCGGGGTGCAGAACGAACTGTGTCACGGTGTTAGGCAACCTTTCCCCCTACAGGGCCAAAACTCCAGTAAGACCTCATCCTTTACCTCATTCAGTAATGCCTTGTGCGGCCAAATCCACTAAAACGAGGTCCTTGACCTGTAACACTGTAGGGTTCAAAAAGAGACTGCCACTCTAAACCCAGGAACCCACGACCAGGTGTAGATCACCTGTATCTGTATCTACGATGCACCTTGCAACTGGTCGATGGATCGGAACATTAGTTCTGCTCCACACTCGCCCACCGCAAGCAAAGCCCCAATGAAGAGCTAACTCACCCTGGCTCACTTTTGATTTGACACGTTTAGATTGTGGAAGAGTGGAAGAGATTTAAACATGTTTAAACATGACTCTTTTCTTGCGCATCGGTGACAGATTGGTTGCTTCCCGTGTTGAACTTATTTCAGGGATGCTCTTGGTCACAAGTACGTCAACCAGCATGAGTACTGGTACAAGACCACCACAAACACCAAAAAACCCAATGGGAATCTAATATGCCACACACCAACACTCTGAAGCATTACGCGGTTACGTGAGGCACAACCCACATAAGCCATCTTAAGCCCCTGCGGCTACTTTCCTCCATGTTGAGGGAAGAGTGCCTGAAGCCTAAACCTGACAAACCCAGCCTTCCTTCGACAGATCGACGGTCGACACCAAAAATGCTTCGTGTTTGCTTCGACAGCTTCGCGAAGCATTCCTGTTCTGCTCGCTTGGCCTGTTCCGCTCGCATGCCATGCAGGGCCAACAGAGGTTGTATCATGTTGCACGTTGTGTACAGTATCGCATCCAAGTGGTGCACACCTGACGTTCGCACAAACACCTGGCCCCATCTGCTCCCCTGGCTGTTTGTCGTCACTGTCCCGGTCGGCCCAGAAGCTTCTTGGGCCAACTCTTGCAGCACATCCTCGCAGACCACTCAATGACCTCCGCGATGTTCCTCAACGACGTGGCGTTTCTCGCGAGTCGTGGAGCGGTTTCGGCAGCCGTGGAGCGTCTGTGGGATGCTTATGGAACGCTACTCATCAGGCGTGCGCTATCTACAAAGCCACTAAAGCTAGTGAGGCTTTTGTCCAGTGGTGATTGCCGTGGAGAGAGTCCAGCCCGAATCCAGCTTGATCAGTCGTCTCGAGGGGGATCCCAAAAACAAATCCTGCCTTAAACCCCCGCCCTTTGGTCTTTTGTACGTACCATCTCCCCATGTCAACATCTCTCAACATCTGTCAACCAATCTTTTCACTCTGTTTTCACTCATTGGTCAATTTGCACAACATTTGCTCCGCTTGGCCGAGGAAAAAACCCGGTACCTCCGCACCATGGACACCGCCCTCCACCGCCATTCTGCCAAGTCTCTGATGCCATGAGGTCTCCAAGCCCGCACAGCTCTTGCGCTCGTGCGCCGCGGAGATGAGAGCCGCGTACTCACCGTGCATGTACCTCGCCGGCGACAACGGAGCCGCTTCGGTCCAGTCGGCGCCGACCTGCAGAAAGGGGTTGACTCTGGGCACCAAAACCCTTTAGACTCCACCCTAGTAGCTTTTGAGAGGGGAGCGCTGTGAGCGGCGCGTTTTTCGATGAAAATGAGCATTTTTGCAACTTTTTTCATGCGTTTTCTTTGATGTGTCTGACATTGCCTGGAAGGATCTGTCTGTTAGCATTTGTCATCCATCAAGGATTCAGGAAACGCCATTGGTAGCATTCGTCTGCTGTAGTAAACTCCGCCATGCAGTCTGAAGATATGACGTATGATGATTTGCATGAGGTTGTCAATGGCCTCATTTGCAGGAGCATCGCTCCCATGTCGCTCCCTCTCCAGCCATGCGGCTCCTTCAACATCCTCACCTTCCCTATGAAGGAACTGAACGGAGGGGAAACAAACCTGGTCCATGCCTTTGACCTCATCCAGAACTTTCAGGGCGACATCAACTTTTCTGACCTCAGCACTAGCTACAAACTGGCATGCGAACGCAAGGATTTGCAGTATCTTCCCGCCCCTTTTGGTCTGAAGGTTGAAGTCCCCAAGGAAACGACCATCCAAATCGTCATCATCAAAAACTCCGAGGGTGAAACCACTATCTTGAAGCATTTGGCCTTTCCGGGAAAAATCAAGGCAACCTTCTTCAAACAGCTCATCTACGGTGAGGGCTTTCAATCTATGTGGATGCAGCCTTCCCCCAAAGGTGGCAGGAAAATCTTGCAGTACTGCCTGGAGAACCTGGGTGGGCGTATCTTCAAGTGCTTTGAGCTCACTTCCCAGGCAAGTCGCAAAGGCCCAAAGCCCGACAGCAGCTTTGAGGAGAAGGACGATGATGACATCGATGCGGGCTTTGATCATATTCTCAAGATGGGCCCTCGCTCATCTTGTGAAATGGCCCAGCTCCGTTGGCAGACG